AGGACCTATGCAACAAGAGTTGTAGCTTTTGGGTCTGATAAGGTCAGTGAAATCCCCTCAGGATTTATCCTGAGATCCTGTACCTCAGATTGGACTACTAAGATTTTACGCTTTTGTAAACTTACAAAATTTGTAATATATGCTAGTTTTATAATGCAAGTGGCATGCCTTGCAGGAGTCAATGACACAAAAGCTATCACTTGGATATATATAAGAACAGAATCTACAACTTCAAAAATGTTTTAGATTGTGGATCTCTTTGAGAATTATGCTAGTAATATGGACACCTGCTCATGTTATATGTGTATAATTTTTATTAAAAGTTTCCCTAAGTTTCAGAGGCTTCACCTGCCTGGAAACTTAGGACACTGGGCTCACAGTAGAGAAAACAGTTAACTGGTCATGAAAGGACTTGCACTGAGAAGCACAGACCCTCTCATCACAGGTCCTCATGTGCACTCAATCCTGTCTTTTCTCTTCAGGGTTCTTTATTCATACCATAGAATTCTTGATATTTACATTCAAGTTGCTTATATAATCTAATATTATTTCAAAAGCAGCATTCACAGATGCCAGCTATTTCTTATGACTTCCAAACCGCACAAGACTGGCACTGTGTTGTGGATTTTCTGGTCAGAAGTCCCTTCCACAGCAGAGTACAAACATTTGTTCCAGTCATGCTTATTGGGTATCTCAACCACCTTCTTAATGGGTGTGTAAGCCATGCATTTGTGAGCGTTTTCATTAGTATAATTCTTGTCAACTGGATAACAATTTGTTATGAAGAGTTCCCTCCCTCCTCCCCCTCTCTCCCCCTCTCTCTTTGAGACAGGGTCTCACTATATAGTTCAGGCTGGCCTTGAACTTCCTGTTTAGCTCAGGCTGGCTTTAAACTCATGGCTATGTTCCTGCCTCAGCTCCCTGAGTGCCGGGATGGCAGGTATGCGCCAACACGCTCGGCTCAAGAAGACTCTGTCCTATATAACTATTTCTGTTTCTTAACATTTGATTTTCCTTTAATAGTTTCAGTCAGAAGTAAAATAATAATTACAAAGAAAGAACTTTGTATTGACGTATGAATTAATCTGATCATGTCTAATTTAAAATGGGAAAACAAAAGGCTTTATCTTATTGTTCAGATTTAGTACAGAGTGACTGCTTTGCAGTGTTACATTTAAGGGATACCGACACATCGAGTATTATTTAAGTGTTCTGAGAAATGTGCTTTCTCCTCTCTATTCTCAGTGGCAATACTTAAACATACCTTTTGTTCTGCCGTCATCGTTAGACTCTGCAATCGGCCAGTCATATTTCCTAAACTCTTTTCAAAAGCTGCTACGAGATGAGCCTGTGAGGAAAATGGAAGAAACAGAGTCAAAAAAATTATTACTGTCTGTGGCTTGATGAAAACCCCTCATTTTACAAAATGCTTAATTCCAGCTATTCTAACTCTTTAAATACTATGATTGCTGTGGCTGGCTCTCAATGGTGAGACCCCTTTCACATAAATCTTCATTTCTACTTCTAAACTTTGGCTTCTGAGAGTCAGAATTTCAGTCTCTTGACATTTAATATTAGCTCAGCTTCCAAAAGGGGATGATATTTTGCAAATAATAACACCTTTTGACTTGTACATCATGCAGGGATTTGACACCCTAAATACGGAATAAAGTTCTGAGCTGCCAAGTTTTGAGAAGAAAGCCCAAAAGCAGGTCGGTGAAGTAGTCAATGGACAAATGTTCTTCATTTTTAGACTTGCATGATGACCTTTGAAGATATTGTTAGCACCTCTATTGTATCGGTACTCTCCTTCAAGTGTCAGACATCCGCTGACAGCTTTAACATTATCTTTCCGCTTTCTTTACTTGCAAAGAATTCAATGGAAAAAGAGTTGTCTTTACTTTCCAAAGTCGTTAAAAAAAAAGAGCTTAGCTTCGTTCTTTATTTCCTTCAACTAAAGAAGCAGAGAAAATATTCAGCCATATTGTATTTAAAACTAAGCCTTTGTGGATTTGTGATTTGATTTTAAATTTCAAAGAACTGTGCCACAATACAGAACCATACATCTTATGATTAAGAAATATTTAACCGTCTTATTATAAAAGCCAGTTTCTATTGACATGCCAGGTGCAACTGCTGGCACCAAGAGTGGTGGATGTGAAGCACTGCATCAGCGTCACCCAGGGCTTGAGGAACAATTTCAGGTGCATTACCACAAAGAGCCCTGTTGTGCCCCTGAAAGGATCCAAGGATGGACTCTTCTACAACCAAAATGTGTAATAAACTATGTATGGACAAAATCTGGTAACCCTTGGCAACAAATCAGTGTTGCCAAGGGAAGGGTATAGAGAGACTCCAGAAGGACACATCCCTGGAGCCGTAGCAGAGCTGAGAGTGTGAGGATCTCAAGGGTCCTCAGAATTAGGGCCCTGGAAGTTCAATTCCTTATTGGTAACAATTAGAAAGTAGAAGTCATTTTTATTAGCTCATGACACAAAGATGCCTTTGTTCCTAGCTGTAAACTCTTCTTTCCCTGTATTTTTTATATGCTTATATAATAGGGAGAAAAACAATTTGTAGAGAATACTTTCACTGAATTCCAGATCTTCGGCACCATGTTCTAATTTCCTTGTTCCGTTATCTTCACCACCCCATTCATTGTACCCTCTCAATTTCTCCCCCTCTCTTTCCCTTTCAGTCTTCCTCTTTCCTCTGCGTTTCTTGTGCTCTTCATCTCCCACTCTCACCCACACACCACAAATAACCTTGAGAAATAACAACCAAGGTTTGGTAACAGATTTAATGAAGTAGGTAATACTGTAAAAGAAGAATGGCATCTTAGAGTTAAAAATATTTCAATGGCACTACATCAATCTTGGTGTCCTTAGAAATGAGCAAAAAGCTAAGTGATATTTTTGCCTATATTTTAGAAGGATTCTTTTTTTTTCCTTTGGCTGACTCAGGCTGCCTTAAGGGTGGGTCTGGAGTGGTATGTGGTGCTGGGGATCGAACCATATTCCCTTGTCCCTGACTGATTTTGCTCAAGAAGGTGCTTTAGACAACTGAACTAACCTGTCAGCCCCATTTTTGCTTATATTGTAATCACTTTGTGATAGCAAAAAAAAATATTAAAAGTTAGCAAACTAAATTATACATTTAAGTGATTTATCATATAACAAATATTCAATTACTCATCAGCCAAATCCATAAATAAGCAATTACCAGACCCTAAAAGCCACCCCCCTTCTCCCATTATTGTTCCCTTTCATTTGCCAAAGACAACTGTGAGTGTAATATTTATGTTAATTATATTTTGGCTTTTCCTGATAGTTTCATAGTTAAATTTGAATTCCTAATCACTAATTGGCCTGCCAAACTATCCAACTGTAATTATATAGCACGATTATTTGTTAACTATTTTCTTTTGCTTAACACTGCTTTCCACATTCACCTGAGGCGTTGGGTGAGTTAGCTTTGCCATAAGCCATCTGTACATGTGAATTCGCAGCATTTGTCTATGATGCGCAATCGTAGAGATTCCCCGTGAGGCTCTGGAAATAATCTAACTAGGATCATAGAAAGGGTACTAACACCTCAAGTTGCTTACCTTATTTTAAAATAAACATGTAAAAGAAATTCTGAATACTTCTAGAACTCATCAGTTATAAATTGAATGGAAGATTCTGTTTGATACTGACGAGTTTTAATTCTGTAATATTCAAATAAATGACCATGAGTTCTAAAATATATAACTTGAAACAAATCACACTTAGGCAATTTATCAATTTTTATTCCATTTGAATAGGAAGTAGCAATATGTCAAGTCAGGAATGTAAACAATATACTGTATGAATTATATTGTTTGCATTTTTTAGGTTTATGTAACCAGAAAATAACAAAATATTTACATTGCAATATCAGTTTCTAATCTTTGTAAAATATTTTCCCTTGAACTACTGATTTAAAACTTCTTTTTAAAAGAATTGAGTCATGCTGTTTTCAATAATTGTATTAAAATTACATTATTGAAGTATTGCCACCAATTTATGTCACTTTGACTTAGATTATCTTATTAGTTTTGTTACTTTAGAATTAGAAAATATTAAATTTCTCACCAAATGTAGTAAGTGAAAAAGCAGTAAAAGAGCTAAATGGGAGAAATTTGTCTACTAACAATAATCTTTATGATCAAAATGAATAAAAGAAAGCAAAAGTGATTAACTATATGACATATACTTATGTAAACAACTTAAAAATAACTTAAAAGCTGAATTGTCAGGGTGATTATTAACCATAATTTACTTGGTTCTAACTTTATAGTTGTATAAAAGGAAATCATGTTAATATAATAATGAATATAACATATATAGGTATGTATATACATATATATACAGTTATATAGCTGTATAAAATGAAGTTTGTCAAGGAAATAAAATAAACAAACTGATATTAAAGAAACATGTTTTTAATGCAAAAGATGTTTGGTCATGGAAGTATAAAATATAAGCTGAATATTTCTATAGACAAATCGTGCTGATGAACAATGACATGAAATGTCATTCGCATAATGCCTATGTCACATTTATTCACACACATTGGAGTGATCTGTCTGTCTGTCTATCTATCTATCCATCTATCTATCATCTATCTATCTAGAGCTATTATCTCATCTATCACCTGAAAGAGCTATTCATATACTGAGTCAAAATGAATGAATGAAAGTTACTCAAACTGATTATTATATGATGTAAGATTTTATATTTAATAATTAGTAGTTAGATGGAGCATGAATAATTCTAAAACATAAAGTTCCTTATGTCTTTTACATTCTATCAAATTATCTATTTAGTGTTTGCCATTGCTTACTATGTAAAAAATAGTTTCCTGCTAGAAAAAATGCAGAAAAGCAAAGTACTTTCCAGATTACATAAAAATACTAAATAGAGCAAATAAATGGGATACAGTTTCAAAAACTAATACCCTAGAGCTTTTTGGTGAAAAGAGTTGTTGCTGAAAGGCAAAATGGTACCTTTGTTTTGTTAGATGTTCATTCAATAACATGTTTGAAAAACGTTAGTAATAACTAAGCCTTACCTACTTTCTATTTACAAAAGGCAAGATTCATAAACAGAATAGACAGGGAAGCAGACCGATGCCTTACACTTGACATTTGTGTGAAGGTGTAGATGAGAGGGACCCCGGCTTCCTGTAGTGACGTCACAGTGTCTGCCATGTGGGGCTTCTGGCTTTCTGCTGGTTGCTAGAGGTAGGTATTGATTTAGGGCAAGCCAGGCAACAAAGCTTGGGACAACACTGTCTCTTCTTTCTAGGGACATCCTAGTGGACTCACTCCCTATGACTATCCACTCCTTTCCAGAGGAACGCCACAGGAGGAAAGACCTAGGGCAGGGCCTACTATGTTTTCACTCTGCAGTCGCATGCGAAGGGACCTGGCTGAATGCCTTTCTCATCTACCACTGCTCCTTTTCACAAAGAAGGAAAATAGCACTTTGTTCAAACTTAAAAATTAAAACACTGATTAAAGCTCAAACATACTAAATACAAGGGTCATACCAAATGCAAAAAAAAAAAAAATACTTGAGGAACATCATTAAGTCCTAATAGCTACTCCTATATTGAGAAAAACATGAATAGACATTGCAAATTATTAAACTTAAAATAGTTAATATTTTCCCAAATAAAGTCATTGAAGTGTTTCCTTATGTATCACACCTATCACAAAATATTAAATCTTACTGTAGAGATCACACATTTAACAAAAATGAAAAATTCATTTGTAGTCTGAACAAGTTAATAAACGAAGATGAGCCTGGCATAGTGGTGCATGGTGTATGCCTGTAATCCCAGCACTTGTGGGACAGGACAAATGACAACAGGGCAGGCATTTCCTTCCCCCTCACTGTGGTTCCGTACACTATGCTATTCTTGGAGCTGGGCACAATGCCACATGCTTCCTTTATTATCCTTCCTCTACTCTACGAGCTCCCTGGCATGTGGAAAGTCAGCCAATAGATGTTAATGTAATTGATGGCCTTGGCTGACATCACTTCTGCCCTTCTAAGCTGTTTTGATGCCAGTAAAAGCGTTTCCATTTTGAACTGCTGTAAGAAACCTGCCAAGGTTTTCTGAGAAAATGGTAACTCATCTACCATGTAGCTTTGCTGTCCATACTTTGATCTAAGTTAGTTTTTCAGGCTGAATTGTAGTTTAACTAATTGTCCAATCAATGGAGCTAATGGAGGTGGAAGTATGAATGTTCTCACTTCTTAAGTCAAACACTATCAACCGTCGCATGTTATGGCTTGGGAGAAATGCATGCATGGAGAGCAACAAACATGAGACAGGAAAGAAGAAATGTCTACAACTGTTACTGTTTGCAGTCCCATATGATACAAAATACCACTTTGACACATTTTGATTGCTCTTTAATTTAGATTTACATGTCATTATTGAATGGGCAAAAAACTTGAACTCCATTTGAGTCCTACTATTTGGCACCTATGTCTGTACAATCTTGGGCACTTAAGATCTGTTAATGAAACTCTTGCATTTTGCTATACAAAAGCCAGGTGTGAAATATATTTAAAAACCAAAAGCAACTTACATTTGCTGAAAGTTGAGATGTGAGAGTAGCAACTTTTTCTTGAGATGCAACCAGTTCTCTCCTCAGCTTATGGATTTGCTGAATGCAATTCAAATATCAATTCAATATATTAGTAGATTAATAAAACTTAGAATTCAATCCAACAGAGCAAGTACTGCAGTTAGCTCCTTGAGCCATGCCTGCAACTGAATATCAGAGATGGAATGTCGGCTACAGTGTAGTGCTCAAGTGCCAATGGGGAGGGAAGCAAGCGTCTAACTTCAGAGTTGAAACTCCGCTCTCGGATCCTTCCGCTTCTCCTCATCCCTCTGTAATTCATGAGGCCATTTACTGTGT